GCTGCAGGGCGCTTGCAAGCTTTTGGGGTCTCCGTCCTGGGGTGGGGGGTGATGGGGGGAAGGAGGGCGGGGGGAAGCCGAGGGGAGAAGAGGGGCAGGCAGGAAGGGCTCCGTCAGCCTGGGCCGTGGGGGTCTCGCCCTCCTGGGCTTCCCCCCCCCTCCATCGCTGACCTCCTGCTCTGCCCCTTGGCCCTGAGGGGGTCCCCCTTTGCAGGTGGGTCTTTGTGCCTCTTCTGGGGTACAGAAGGGGCCTTTGGGCGGCAAACAGGGGGGTGACCTTTCCCTTCGGGGTCTTCTCCGGGCGCCCTCCGGACCCTCCCCGCCCCAGCCCATCCCTTCTGTCTCTCCCCCCACAGAACACCGAATTGTTTGCGATGATCGAAAAGATGCAGGTGAGTCCAGCCTTTCCCAAGCCTGAGCCTGTCGGGGGGGGGACTCTTGGGGGGGCATGGGGGGGTCCATCTGAGAGTGACCCCTTGGAGAATAAAGGGTGGATCGATCCTTTCTGAGAGTGGGGGGACTCTCAGGCACGGAAGGGAGCGACACTTCCCCCCCCCCCTGCAGGCATTGGGGATGAGAAATGTGCTCTTTGCATGCTCAGAGGCGCCCTTCCCTGGAGCTCATCATCCACCGCTGCTGCCTTTCTTCCCCAGGGCTCCTCCAGGGAGGGGGTGGGATTGCAGGATCCATCACCCTCGGCCGGCACAGCTGTCCCTAGGGATGGGGGAGGGGCTTCGAAAGACAGCCATGGGGTGCCAATCCGGTCGGTCGGGGGCCCTGGATGGTTTGTGGCCACATCTGGGGCCCGCCTGGTGCCGGGCTGTTCATTTGCAGAGGAGCAGCAGCTGGACCCAGGGTTTTTCCCCCTCCCCCCCCCCGTGCCGGAGCCCGGGCCAGGGCCAGATCCTGTGCCAAGCAGGATCTCCGCGCCGCCATCCCGCCTGCCCGCTGCTCCAGCCCAGGCACACAGCTGGCGGGCGGCCCAGGAAAGGCTGTTGACTCTGGGGCTGGTCTCTCTCTCCCCCCCCCCAGGGAAACCGGATGGACGAGCAGCGCTGTGCCTTCCCCCCTCCCCTCAAGGTAGGTGCTCTGCCTCTCCGCAGGGCCGGTGCTCCGTTGCCCCCCCCCACCCCACCTCAGGCGGAAAGCCCACCGGTTCAGCTCCTTCCACTGCCTTGAGAAGCTGCTTTGATAGAATCTGGCCAGCCTGATTTTTTTTCTCTCTCTGCCCCTTTTACACCCTATGAAACTCCATGTGTATATTTGTGTGTGTGTGTGTGTGTGTGTTTATGTGTCTTCTCAGCCTTTTCCTGGCCCGTTATAGGCTGTGGGCTCTGCCCCGGTCTCCTCCTGTCCAGTGCAGGGATGGGGGGGGGGNGGCTGGCGAGGACGCGGGCTGGGGCGTGAGTAGGAGCCGCTGCTGCAGGGCGCTTGCAAGCTTTTGGGGTCTCCGTCCTGGGGTGGGGGGTGATGGGGGGAAGGAGGGCGGGGGGAAGCCGAGGGGAGAAGAGGGGCAGGCAGGAAGGGCTCCGTCAGCCTGGGCCGTGGGGGTCTCGCCCTCCTGGGCTTCCCCCCCCTCTCCATCGCTGACCTCCTGCTCTGCCTTCCCCCTTGGCCCTAAGGGGGTCCCCCTTTGCGGCTGGGTCTTTGTGCCTCTTCTGGGGTGCAGAAGGGGCCTTTGGTCGGCAAACATGGGGGGTGACCTTCCCCTTCAGGGTCTCCCCCGGGCGCCCTCCGGACCCTCCCCGCCCCAGCCCATCCCTTCTGTCTCTCCCCGCAGAACACCGAATTGTTTGCGATGATCGAAAAGATGCAGGTGAGCTCTCCCAAGCCTGAGCCTGTGGGGGGGCTCTTGGGGGGCATGGGGGGGTCCATCTGAGAGAGACCCCCTTGGAGAATAAAAGGTGGATCGATCCTTTCTGAGAGTGGGGGGACTCTCAGGCACGGAAGGGAGCGACACTTCCCCCCCCCTCTGCAGGCATTGGGGATGAGAAACGTGCTCTTTGCATGCTCAGAGGCACCCTTCCCTGGAGCTCATCATCCACCGCTGCTGCCTTTCTTCCCCAGGGCTCTTCCGGGGAGGGGGTGGTATTGCAGTATCCATCACCCTCGGCCAGCACAGCTGTCCCTAGGGATGGGGGAGGGGCTTTGAAAGACAGCCATGGGGTGCCAACCCGGTCGGGGGCCCGTGGGTGTTTTGCGGCCACATCTGGGGCCCGCTGTGCCTTTGCAGAGGAGCAGCAGCTGGATCCAGGGTTTTCCCCCCTCCCTCCCCCACAACCGTGCCGGAGCCCGGGCCAGGGCCAGATCCTGTGCCAAGCAGGATCTCCGCGCCGCCATCCCGCCTGCCCGCTGCTCCAGCCCAGGCACACAGCTGGCGGGCGGCCCAGGAAAGGCTGTTGACTCTGGGGCTGGTCTCTCTCTCCCCCCCCCAGGGAAACCGGATGGACGAGCAGCGCTGTGCCTTCCCCCCTCCCCTCAAGGTAGGTGCTCTGCCTCTCCGCAGGGCCGGTGCTCCGTTGCCCCCCCCCACCCCACCCCAGGCGGAAAGCCCACCGGTTCAGCTCCCTCCACTGCCTTGAGAAGCTGCTTTGATAGAATCTGGCCAGCCTGATTTTTTTCCTCTCTCTGCCCCTTTTACACCCTATGAAACTCCATGTGTATATTTGTGTGTGTGTGTGTGTGTGTGTGTGTTTATGTGTCTTCTCAGCCTTTTCCTGGCCCGTTATAGGCTGTGGGCTCTGCCCCGGTCTCCTCCTGTCCAGTGCAGGGATGGGGGGGGGGTCTGCAGCCCCACAGAAATTCTTCCAGACTTTTTCCACTTCTTCAAGATTGATTGTGGTGATGGTGGGGGGGGAAGCGCAGGTGTGTGTGTGTGTGTGTGTGTTTGTGCGTTGACCCACAAGGGCCTTTTTGTGTTTCTGCAGACGGAAGAGGATTATATCCCTTATCCCAGCCTGATTTTTTTCCTCTCTCTGCCCCTTTTACACCCTATGAAACTCCATGTGTATATTTGTGTGTGTGTGTGTGTGTGTGTTTATGTGTCTTCTCAGCCTTTTCCTGGCCCGTTATGGGCTGTGGGCTCTGCCCCGGTCTCCTCCTGTCCAGTGCAGGGATGGGGGGGGGGGTCTGCAGCCCCACAGAAATTCTTCCAGACTTTTTCCACTTCTTCAAGATTGATTGTGGTGATGGTGGGGGGGAAGCGCAGGTGTGTGTGTGTGTGTGTGTGTTTGTGCGTTGACCCACAAGGGCCTTTTTGTGTTTCTGCAGACGGAAGAGGATTATATCCCTTATCCCAGCCTGATTTTTTTTCTCTCTCTGCCCCTTTTACACCCTATGAAACTCCATGTGTATATTTGTGTGTGTGTTTGTGTGTTTGTGTGTCTTCTCGGCCTTTTCCTGGCCCGTTATGGGCTGTGGGCTCTGCCCCGGTCTCCTCCTGTCCAGTGCAGGGATGGGGGGGGGGTCTGCAGCCCCACAGAAATTCTTCCAGACTTTTTCCACTTCTTCAAGATCGATTGTGGTGGTGGGGAGGGAGCGCAGGTGTGTGTGTGTGTGTGTTTGTGCCTTGACCCACAAGGGCCTTTTTATGTTTCTGCAGACGGAAGAGGATTATATCCCTTATCCCAGTGTCCACGAGGTAAGGGCGATCCGATGGAAGGGAGCCTCCCCGTTTAGGAGCAGTCTACCTCAGAGGGGCGGGGAGAATTCGTGTCCTCCGGTGCTCGCTTTTTAGGAGAAGAGGGCTGTTGGGTGGACCGCCCTGTGGCCTCCCCTTGTCTCTAGGCGGGGGGGGGGGAAGGCGAGGCAGGGGGGCCCCTTCCGACCTACCTACCCGCCTGTCTAAGGTTCGAATCGTCCTCCCCCACCCCCGTTTTTCCCTTCTGCAGGTTCTGGGCCGGGAGGCTCCCTTCCCCCTCATCTTGCTCCCCCAGTTCGGGGGCTACTGGATCGAGGGGACCAACCACGACCTGCTGGATCTTGCCGAAATCCAGTCTCCGGGCTATAAGGTCAAGCTGGAATGCAACCACCTGGCCAGGGTCTACCGGAAGCATTTTCTGGGCAAGGTCAGCCCCCCCGGGGACGGAGGGAGGGGGGAGGGAGGGAGGGGGCTTGGAAAGGGGAAGAGCACCCCCTCTTAACCCCACTGGGACCCCCCCAAGAGACTGTTCTGCCCTCCTGATTGCCCATGCCCCCCTCCTCTTTCCCTTCCACCTGGAAGGGATGTTTGGGTGTGGGGGGGGGGTCATCCCCAGCCTTCCCACTCTTTGGGGCTGCCTTCCAAAGTCGGGGTGCACGGAGGCACGGGGGCTGCTTCTGCCCAGGCCTCCCGCTCTGCCCGGGCCTGCCGACTTGGAGGAGGAATGTAAGGAATGCAACAAGTCAGAGCTAACCTGGAGGATGAGCTCTTCCTGTCCTTCCTCCGGGGCGCGGGGGGGCTCCATGGGGATCCCCCCCACCCCGGAATCGCAGGGCTGCCTCCCTCTCCCACCCCCTCCCTGCTCTGCATTTGCCCCAGCCGCTTCAGCCAAGGGCACAGGATGGAACGGGGGGGGGGGGGATTTCTGAGTAGGGCCCAGAAAAAAGAGGGGTGCTGCAGTTTTTGGGGGGGTCCCCAGCGTGGAGTCCCTCAAGGCCTTCCCCCATCTGCAGGAATCGCCTGCTGCTTTCAAGGCCCAGCCTGGAGGGAGCCAGCTGTGTGCCTTCTGGGTGGGGCAGCCACCATAGGCCGGGACGGGCTGCACTTTGCCCCAGCTGGGTGGGGCAGGGCTGGGTGACCCCCTTCTCTTCTGCTCCTGCCCTGCCCTTCGAAGGAAAGCAGCATGGGGGGGTGAGGGTGGGGGCAGAAGGACCCCCCCAACTCAAGCCCCTTCCTCAAAAAGGCAGCGGGAGGAGGCCTGGCAGAAGGATGAAAGCGAATTGGGGGGAGAGGTGGGGGTCCAAAGAGAAGCCTTCACTCGTGCAACTGAGGCTGGGGGGGTGGGGAGTGGGGTTCTTGGGAGAACACCTCATTCAAAGCCGGGCAGTTGTAAAAAAAAAAAAAAAGGAATTTGTCAGATCTGTGGCTTTCCGTGGCCATAGTGTTGTAGAGCCTCCAAGGGCAGGAGCAGTAGGCCTTGGTCATTCCCTCCCCCATCCTGGCTTGTGTCTGCTCAGGAGCATTTCAATTACTACTCGGTGGACGCCGCGCTGGGGCACCTGGTGTTCTCGCTCAAGTACGACGTGATCGGGGACCAGGAGCATCTGCGCCTGCTCCTGCGGTGAGAGGGGGGCGCCTCCTGCGGTGGGGCTGGGACCCCCTTTTCTCTGTCCCCCCCTCCCCAGGCTTGGCCCTGACTCTCCTCCCCCTGCAGCACCAAGAGCCGGTCCTATCACGACGTCATCCCCATCTCCTGCCTGACCGAGTTCCCCAACGTGATCCAGATGGCCAAGGCAAGTTGGGGTCCCCGGGGGGGGTCCCCCACTTTCTCTCTTCCCGCAAGGGAACCAGATCAGGTTTTGCCGTCGCCTCCTGGCGGTTTGACCCCAACCCCGTTGGCTGTGAGATGACCGCAGGGAGGGTGTGAGGGCAGAGGGAGGGGTGTCGGTCCCAAAACCCCGGGATAGGGGTGTTAGAGAGGGTCTCCCCACGGTGCAGAAGGGGGGGGCAGGTCAAATGACTTAGGCCTCTTCCCTCCTTGACCGTAGCTGGTCTGCGAAGACGTGAACGTTGACCGCTTCTACCCTGTGCTGTATCCCAAGGTAGGAGTGTGAATTGAGGGGGGGGCAGGGAGGAACCCCTGATGGAAAAGCCCCTTCCCCACCACCCCCTTCCAGTCTCTCCAACACTCCCCCCCCGCTTTGCCCCCCCCAGGCCTCCCGCCTGATCGTCACCTTCGACGAACACGTCATCAGCAATAACTTCAAATTTGGGGTGATTTACCAGCAACTTGGTCAGGTGGGTCTGTGCCTCGTGCCCCCCCAGAGGGAGCAGGTGAGGCTGCGGGAAGCCTGGGGAGGGGAGGGGGGGCCAGGAGCCTTTGGCTAGGCTGGGGGAGGGCATAGAGGGGGGCTTCCGGGCACTGTGCAGAGACCCCCCCTCCTCTTCTGTCGCTTCTCTTGAAGCACGGCTCCCTCTGCCCTTCCGGCTGGGCCAGGGGGTCTTCAAACTCGGCCCTTTGAGGACTGGTGGACTTCAACTCCCAGAATTCCTCAGCTAGGCACACTGGCTAAGGAATTCTGGGAGTTGAAGTCCACCAGTCTTAAAAGGCACACTGGCTGAGGAATTCTGGGAGTTGAAGTCCACCAGTCATAAAAGGCACGCTGGCTGAGGAATTCTGGGAGTTGAAGTCCACCGGTCAGAAAAGGCACGCTGGCTGAGGAATTCTGGGAGTTGAAGTCCACCGGTCAGAAAAGGCACGCTGGCTGAGGAATTCTGGGAGTTGAAGTCCATAAGTCATAAAAGGGCCAAGTTGGAAGACCCCCTGTTTGAGCAAGGGGTTGGACTAGAAGACCTCCAAGGTCCCTTCTTCCAGCTCTGCTATTCCATGCTATAGAAGGGATCCAGTGTTTATGGGGCGGAGAGAGAGTTTCCCCTTGTTTCTAATTCCAGAGGTCAGAGATAAATGAATTATAAGCTGCCCAGAGTTATTGACTATATAGAAGTTGAACGGACATCTATATAGGCACTCTGGCTGAGGAATTCTGGGAGTTGAAGTCCGCCAGTCCTCAAAGGGCCGAGTTTGAAGACCCCTGGGCTGGTCCCTTGGAGGGGAAAGCTCGCCAAGGGACCCTCCCAACATCCTGCTTCCCCCACCTCTCTTTGCTTCAGATGCCAGGGAGGCAGTGCCACCTGCAGCCATGGGCAGGGAGGGTGTCTGTCCCCCCCCCCATCCCACGCAGCTGGCGTGGACTAGACGGGGTGCCCTGCCTGCCACCACTGTGGGGGGGGGATCCGGCAGGATGCTTGCTGTGCTCAGCAGCCACCTTTGAGGCTGAGCCAGACCTCCCTCTGTGCCCCCCCTCGACTGCCTGGGCACCCCCCCTCCTTTCCCCACAGACGTCGGAAGAGGAGCTGTTCAGCACCACGGAGGAGAGTCCGGCCTTTGTGGAATTCTTAGAGTTCCTGGGCCAGAAGGTCCAGCTGCAGGACTTTAAGGGGTGAGTGTAGCCAAGGGGGGGCAAAATGTGCCTGTGTGTGTGTGTAGCTGCCCCTCCCCAGCAAACCCCCCCAGGCCTTGGCCTGAGGCCTTTTTCTCTGGGGCCTGCTCAGGTTCCGGGGGGGCCTGGACGTGACCCACGGCCAGACGGGGACGGAGTCCGTCTACTGCAACTTCCGGAACAAGGAGATCATGTTCCACGTCTCCACCAAGCTGCCGTACACCGAAGGGGACGCGCAGCAGGTAAGACGGCCAGGGACACACACACACATGCACACACACACACACACACCTTCCTCGTCTCCACTGACCCTCTTCTCTCCCCCCCTCCCCCAGCTGCAGCGGAAACGCCACATCGGCAACGATATCGTGGCCATCGTCTTCCAGGACGAGAACACCCCCTTCGTGCCGGACATGATCGCCTCCAACTTCTTACACGCCTACGTGGTGGTGCAGGCCGAGAACGCCTGTTCGGAAAAGACCCTCTACAAGGTGACCCTGGGGTGGGGGTGGGGGGCTGGCACGAGGCGGGTGGGATGGGTGGGAGCCGCTCCATGGGGTCCTGGGTCCGGCCGAGAGGGGGCAGCCCCCTAGTGCCAATGCCAGCGGCTCGCCCTGTCCCTTGCAGGTCTCGGTCACTGCCCGGGACGACGTGCCCTTTTTCGGGCCTCCGCTGCCCAACCCAGCCATCTTCCAGAAGGTGAGTGCGCTTCTTTCCCTCCAGGCCTGCCCCCTTCAGGGCACTCGGGGTGGGGAGGCTGCAGCACCGTGCACAACCCCCACCCACCCACCCTGCTTCCCCAAGGGACGAGAGACCCTGGGTGGGCAGGCCATGCTCAGCTGGGTCTGGGGGCTGTCACAGGACAGTCCGGCAGTCCTGTTGCTGGGCTAAATCTTGGGGTGAGGGGGTGGTGTCACCCAGCCAAACCAAGCCTTGCAAACCCCCCCCCCCCCCCATTTCTCCCTGCAGGGGCCAGACTTCCAAGCGTTCCTTTTGACCAAACTGATCAACGCCGAATACGCCTGCTACAAAGCAGAAAAGTTTGCCAAACTCGAAGTGAGTTTCCGGGATGTGCGTGTTTGTGTGTGGGGGGGTGTGGGGGTGTTAGCCACAAAGCCTCTCTGGCTGACTCTGCTGCAAGCGGGGGGGGGCACCCCAGCCCTCCCTTTGCACCCCCCTCCCCACCTGGCTGACCCTCCCACAGTCTCAAGAGGGGAGGGGGGCTTGCATGTCGTGACAGGAGCGCACGCGGGCGGCCCTGCTGGAGACGCTGTACGAAGAGCTGCACCTGAACAGCCAGTCCATGATGGGCCTGGGGGGCGAGGAGGACAAGATGGAGAACGGCGGGGGGGGCGGCAGCAGCTTCTTCGAGTCGTTCAAGGTGAGGGAGGGCAGCGCGGCCGGAGACGCTGGGGGTCGTCTTGTGGGTTCCTGCCTCGCCAGCCCTTTTGCACCCTTCTCCACCCTCCCCAGCCCTCCCTCCCTTTGGTCTGGGGGGGCTGCAGCCCCTCTTGAGTGTCTGTGGGACCCCTCCCCTGGGCAGGCAGTGGGCTTCCCGGAGTCTTGGATCCTTGGACCGCGAGTGGCCATCCTCCCCCTCCCCCGAGTCCTGCTGCCCGCTTTGGCCCCCGGGGAGGGTGAGGGTCGCTTAGGGCGGGCCGGCCTTCCCTTCCAGCGGGTGATCCGCAGCCGCAGCCAATCGATGGACGCCGTGGGTCTCAGCAGCAAGAAGCAAAACACCGTCACCACCAGCCACAGTGGCAGCTTTGGGCACCACAGCCCTGACATCACCAAAGCCAGCGGCCTAGTGAGTGCCCCTCCCCGCTCAGTGCCCGCTTGCCCATCTCCAGAGCCCGCCCCTGTCCTTCCACCACCTTCTGCATTGACCTTAGTCTTTGCTTGGCCCCCACCCCAACAGGGGTGGCGTTGGGCGCTGGCAAGGAGGGGAGGGAGCAAGACCCACATCTTCCGTGGTTCTCCCTGGCCGGTGGTACCTCCTTGGGGGTGCAGTGCCCCAGCTTGGCCACTGGGTGGCAGCCTTGCCCCAGCATAGGCGCCTTGACTGGAGGGGAGAGAGTTGGCTGCCTAGAGGGGCGGGCGGGACCCTCCATTGGGCAGGGCTTGGAGGGACCCTCCACTGGGCAGGGCTTGGAAGGGAGGGGTGGTCTTGTGGGCTGAAGCCCACCCACCCACCCACCCCACTGCCCGTCCCCACCTCCCCTTCCTCATGGCGAGGAGCATTGGGCATCCCCAAGTTCTCTCTCTCTCACACAGTGGCTGGCAGAAACCAGCTTAAAAAGGGGGGGGCGTCTCCCACCTTCTCCTGCCTCCTCCCCCAGGCATGCTGGGGTGGGGTGGGGGGCGCCTGGTGGATGCCAGAGAACATCTGGGCTGCTGTAACAAGAGGGGGCAGGCAGCGAGCGTGGCAGAGGCCCCAACATCCAGACCCCCCCCCCATCTTGGGCATTGCTTCTGCTGCCTAACCCCAGGCAAACATCTCCCAGCTTCCCCCCCGCCCCCCGCCGCCATCCCATCCCAGGCACAGCCTCAGCAGCTTCCTCTGCCTTCTCCATGCCCCCCTCCATGCCCGCTGGCTGCCTTGGCCCTTCCGGGAGACTGGCCCCTTGGTGGATAATTGAGCGCCATTTTGTTCGCATGACTTCTTTTTCTCTCTCTCTTTCTCTCTCTCTCTCTCTCTCTCTCCCTTCCTCATCCTCCTTTGTTCCCCCCCTTCTCCCCCTCTGCCTTCTCCCCCCCCTTTTCACGCTCTGCCCGCTTGCCAGTCATTGCTTGTGCCCGGAAAAACGTCAAGTAGGTACGGACGCCGAGGCAGCGCGATAGGCATAGGAACCATTGAAGAGGTGGCTGGACTTTTTCCTCATATTCTCTCTCTCTCTCTCTCTTTCTTTCTCTCTCTCACTTTCTCTCTCTCATTCAATCTCTTTGTCTCTCTTTCTCTCTCTCTCTTTCTCTTTCTCTCTCTTTCTCTCTCTCTGTTTCTCTCTCTTTCTCTTTCTCTTTCTTTCTTCTTTCTCTCTCTCTCTCTCTCTCTCTCTCTCTCTCCCTCTCTCTCCCCCTCTCTCTCTCTCCCTCTCTCTCTGTTTCTCTCTCTCTCTCTCTCTCCCTCTCTCTCTCTTTCTCTCTTGCGCTCTCTCTCGCTTTCTTTCTTTCTCTTTCTTTCTTTCTTTCTTTCTTCTTTCTTTTTTCCCCAGCCCCCCCCCACTGCCCCTTTCCCACCCCATTGCATGCCCCACACAGCCTCCTACCCCACCCCCACCCCGGGGCATCCTTGCTAAACCTGGGAAATTGCTGGGAATGTGTCTCCTTCTGGCCGTCTTGCGATTACAACTCTTTGCATGTGACGGGAAGAGGACCCCCTGGGCTCCTTTGTGCTTTCGGCCTTTCTGTTTGAGTCCTCCAGGGGGTCCTGGACCCTCCCTCTGGCGGGAAGCCTTCCTTCCTCCCCAGCCCTCAGCATCTCCAGTTAAGCCGGGATCCCAAGGAAGCTGGCCTGGAAGGCGGTTAGACGTTCCATGCAAAGGGGGCAGATGTGACCTTTGCCACAGACCCCTTTTAAGGCGGACCTTGGATGCATGCATGAACAGGGGAGGTTGGGATCTTTAGTGGGGGGGTTATTATTTCTGAGCCCTTGAAGCGCCCCCCTCCCCCAGCCAGCCAAGCTGGACCTCCCATCCCGTCCGGTAGTTAGTTCCAAGGTCTCTCATCCTCGCTGGCAGAGGGCAGCCTGGTGCTCCCTGTGGGAAAATAAGATTGAGGAGTGGTCTCTCCTGGTGGGTTGGGAGCCAACAGACTATAATGATGATAATAATAATAATAATAATAATAATAATAATAATAATAATAATAATAATAANGGAGGGAGGGAGGGAGGGAGGGAGGGAGGGGGGGGAAATAGTATAATAGACTCAGAAGGGACCTCGGAGGTCATCTAGTCCAACCCCCTGCTCAGGCAGGAAACCCTATACCATTTCGGACAAATGGCTGTCCAGTCTCTTCTTAAAAACTTCCAGTATTGGAGACTATTCACGGAGGAACGCGCAAAGTTCAGAGTTCAACAGCATGCAGCTTCTTTGGGCAGGAAACCGACAAGCCTTTGCAAAGGGAGCCTGGTGGGTGGGGGGGGGGAGGTCCGAGCTCTCCCCCTCCTCTGGTTCCGTTCATCCTCCGTCCTCCTTTTGGGGGACCCCGGAGTTTCCTTGTCCTTCTGCAGGATTTAAAAAAGAAGAAGAAAGATGGAGGCTTGGGAGGAAGACAGACCCGTTTCCCACTGGGGAGGGGGGGTCTTCCCTGATTCCACGCCTCCATTTTCCTAAACTCCCCCTCCCCGTCCGCTTGCTTCCCCTTCTACCTCTGCCCCACCACTGGGGCATCCTCTCCAGAGAAGCATTTTAAATCCTTGGCATGCTGCGGGGTGTGTGTGTGTGTATGTGTTATTTTGAGGAGGGGGCTGAGGTATGAGTTTGCACCCCTTCTGCGGCCTGTCTGGTTTGCAAACTCTGTTCTGGAGCATCCTAGGCACTTTTCGCCCAAAAGATTCGGGTTGCCCCAATGGGGTCTGGCCCTGGACGCCGTGGGGCTACCCACGGCTATGCCGTCGCTGTTCAGGGACCCCGAGCGGGTGCAGTTCCCAAGAGGAGAGGGGGTGGCTAGGAAAGACGATTGGCAACGCCTGGAATAAACTATGGTGGTTAGTGCAGCTTCCTGTTGTTGACATGGGGAGGGCCTTTCTTGTGTATCCCCCCCGCCCTCGGCTTGCTTGTGCCTGTTGGTCAGCTCTGGAGCAGGGTTTCCCAAGGCAGAGACCCCCTCCCCAATTCTCCGGAGTGCCTCTCCTGTCCCTGCTTCATCTTTCTGCTTAATGACACCCCCTCCCCTTCTCCCCGTTTCTTGCAGTCCCTGATTGTTCCCGGAAAGAGTCCGACACGGAAGAAGTCCGGGCCATTCGGGTCGCGGCGAAGCAGCGCCATCGGCATTGAGAACATCCAGGAAGTGCAGGAGAAAAGGTGGGGTGGGGGAGGCTGCCGGTGAGTTTCCCCCCTGGTCGGCTTCACGTGCTCACCTGGGATTTCTTGCGCCATCGGCCAGAGGCCGCGATTGTGCATCATGCACTAAAACAGTGACGGTGAACCTTTTAGAGACCGAGTGCCCAAAAACCACCCCCCCTCATAGTTCTGCCCCATCCACTCCACCCACCCCCCACTCTGCCCACCCCTGCTGGACCACCCACCGCCTCCACCGCCGGCCGCAGATCACTCAGGCAGCCCTGCAGCGCCATGATGGACATGCCCTCCATCCGCGCCCCACAGCATCATCTGCGCACGACAGGGCACGAGGGCGGAGTCTTGTCCCTGCTGCCCAGCTGCCATGTGCTTGGCTGTGCTGCTCCATGCCTGGGGGGGGGATGACTCTCCTCTGGGGGGGCTGCTGATGAGGGGGGCGTGGGGGGAGGCAGGGCTGGGGTGGCCACGCGTGCCCTAGGTCCACCACCACTGCACCAAAACCACAACAGACAGACTTATTCCAGGCTTGGAGCCCAGGTCAACCCCATTGCAACTTGAACCGAGCTGGTTTTGGAGGAAGGGCCCGTGCCTACTCCCACCCAGCCTTCCTCTGCCCCAGCCTTGCTCCTGAAGGCCCACCTGTGTGCCCCACAGGGAGAGCCCGACGGGCACTGCGAAGACGCCCGAGGACAACCACGCCGGCCAGGAGCCCCATTCCGAAAACTCCTCCAATCAGAGCTCGCCAGAGATGCCCACCACGAAGAACAGGTGGGTAGTGGGACCCACCATCACCACCCGGGCGTCTCCTGGCTGAGTCCGGCCTTGGTTCTGACACCCGGCAGCCCCTTAGTCCTTTTTCTCCCCCTCCTTGTAGGCCAGATCCGGTGATGCCAAAGCCAGAAGCCGGGCACGAATCCTCCCGCTCCTCCTCCAGCGCCAGTAGCTTTGGCAGCATGGTGGAGGACGCCGAAGGCAGCCGGGATGACACCAGCGGGGTGAGGGGGCACCCGGGGTGGGCATGGGGCGGTGGGGGGATGAAGGGAGACGGGCTGGTGCCAGGAGGGAATTCAGAAAGAGGCATAAAAGTGGCTTTTAGAGTTTCTCCCGATGGCTCCGGGTGCCTTTGAAAGTAGACAGCAAGCAACAGGCCACAGTTTGGAAATCCTGGCTTGTTCAGTGAATGAACGCCTCCGATCTTAAGCAGTGGGCAGCCATAAAAGGGGGCTCCGTGGCTGAAAACGGCTCAAATATTTCAGCCCTTGACACTGATTCTCGGGGGCTCTTGCAGCCCACGTGGAAGGGCTTCCCCAATCGAAGGCTGGCGGCCCCGCTCTAAACATTGTGGACTAGGAACTTGGCAGGGGAAAGCCGTTCCCTCTTGCACGGGTGACTCCTAAGCCGCCCTCTGCTTTCTCTGTCCCAGGAAAGCCACTTCCCTTCCACGCCTTCCCACAAACGCGATTCCTTCATCTACAGCACGTGGCTGGACGACAGCACCAGCACCCCCAGTGGGGGCAGCTCTCCAGGTACCCCCCTGCCCCCTCCTTGCAGCGCCCCCCATAAGGCTGCTCTGGAGTAGCTGGCCTTCACACACACACACACACACACACACACACACACACACACACACACACACACTGCCCAGTGTGGGACCCCTTTGCTCACGAGGGAGGGAGGGCTGATTTTAATCCCAATAGCTTTGGTGCTTCCCCCTCCAGGCCCCTCGCACTCCCCCCAGCCGGACCCCAGGAAGCCCACGGACCCCCCTTGCCCGGAGATCCAGATCCAGCTCGAACATTCGGACCCGCAGCCCCCACACCTGGTGAGGGCTCCACAAGGACTGGGGGAGAAAGTGTCCTGTTCTGGGGAGGGGAATCGGTCCATGCAGCCTCTCTCTCTCCAGGAACCGGGTTTTAATCCTCCTTTTTCCCCCCCCCCTCCCAGAGCTGCTAACCTCCCACCGGTCTTGCGGATGTGCCTCTTGAGCAGGTCAGACCTGGTGTCCCCCGATATCTTCCCGGCGGGGGGGGGGAGGCCACCCTCTGCCCATGAGCTTCTGGCAAGTCCTCAAAAGACCCAGTGTGGGGGCTCTGCGCCATCACGCCCGTTCGTCCCTATCCCTGCTGGTTCCCTTCTCCTCCGTGGTGCCTTCAACTTTTGGGGCCTCCTCCCCATCCTGGGGAGTGACCTTTCCTTTGTCCCCCCCCCCACTTCTGACAGCTCACGGCAAAGAAGCACAAGCTGTGGCAACGCCGGAGAAGCCCCCATTTTTCTCTCCGGGACGACGCTCCGACCAGCAACACCTGCTTCTCCAACTCTCCATTTTAAGCAGCTGCTTCTCCTCTCCGGCCACATCCGGTGGCTTCCTGGCACACCGGGAACGGCATTACTCCGGGCCCACCCAGGACTCTCTGGGCCTCGATTCCCCCCCCCTTTCCATGAGCTGTGCTCAACGACGCCCCCTCCCCAATTCCATCACCCCCCCAAAAAAACCCTCCAGCCTGTGGAGTCAAACGCTGGACAATCACAAGGAGGCGGAGATGGCCTGTGTGTTTCCCAACTGTTCCCCCTCCCCAGGTCCCTTTGTGGGGGCCGTCTCGACCGGCTACGGTGGGGTGGGGGGTGGGGAGAGAGAATTCGGCCTCTTCCTGGCTTCCCTATTGCAGAAGCCGGCAGCCCCCCCCCCCACTGTTTCCAGGGGTCACCTTGGAAGAGGATAGCCGAGCTAGGAGCAGCTCCATCCTGCAAGTTGTTGTTGTTTTTTCTCTGGAAAGCCGAGCATCTCCATCGGCTGCGTGTTTTCTGGACCCTGTTTCAGCACACAGAGGAGGCCCACGGATGGAGGCGTTTATGGGGCAACATCTGGATTACGCCTGGATCAGCTCCCTCCGTCTTGGTGTCTCCCACTGGCCTTCGTCACCAGGGCTCCTTCTGCATCTCTCTTTCTCTCTCTCTCTCTCTGTCTCTCTCCTGCCCAGCTGTTGCACTCTTTCCTGCCCTCCGCTCTTGTCACACGTTCCCTGTCCGCTTTGCCCCCCATCACACACACACACACACACACACACACACACACACACAGAGCAGCCATGTTCCCTCCTATCCTAGGGAATTTTGGCAGGAGGGAGGGACCGAGACGTTCCCAGTCTCTCCCCCATGTTCATCCCAAAGAAACCTTGACAATCTTGCCCCAGGTCAGTTAGGGGGTGGAGGGGCTCGGCTGAGTCTGGGGGTGCCCTGGGGTGACTTTCAGGCTGGTCCAGGGCAGGTGGGCCATCAGCCCCCCTTCACCCCACGGTCTGGCCAAAGCCTGATGCTCTGGCTGGGCTCTAAACTGCAGAGGCCTCCCCTTCTGTGCTGTGATTGGCCTGCCCCCCCCTCCCGTGCTGTGCAGGATTTGGGGGGAGGCACCACACCTTTGTGGGCAACGCACCCGGCTGGCTCCACAGGTGTCTGGATCAGGGAAAAGGGTTCCCCAATTCCCAGGCATCCACATTTAATTTTAAACATCCTTCTGGTGATGTGAAAATATTAATTCCGTGATGTCTGGGTCTCTCTCTTTCTCTCTCTCTTTTTCTTTCTTTCTGTCTCTCTTTCTCTTTTTCTTTCTCTTTTTCTTTCTCTCTTTTTCTTTTTCTTTCTGTCCCTTTCTTTCTCTCTTTCTCTTTCTTTTTCTTTCTCTCTCTCTTTCTTTTTCTTTCTGTCTCTGTCTCTCTTTTTTCTTTTTCTTTCTGTCTCTTTTTCTCTTTCTCTTTCTCCCTCTTTCTCTCTCTCTCTCTCGTGTCTGTTGCGTAAATCCATCCTTTCTTCCTCTTTTGGGTCGTTTTGGTTGCTTAATTTTATTTAATTTAATTTTATTTTTTTAAAAAATGATGCACAAAATCCATGAACTTAACAATGTTTCAACATTGCGTTTAATTTAAAACTCCAAGACTCGTATTGGTGTTTCCAGTGACCTGTGTATAAAAATTTAAAAAAAAAAAAAGTCTATTTATCGCTATTGTAAGAAGAATCTATTTGTAAAATGCTTTTTAAAATAGACAGGCTGGAAAATAAAATGGGAAACCTCCACGTAGCTTTTCCTGTTTCCTTGTTCCGTCTGGAGGAAGGCTTCTGATGGGGGAGGCCCCGAACAGCAGGAAGATGGCCTGATCGACTTTTGAACGCTCCAGTCGGTCCGTGTCCAATTCTAATGTTCGTCCATCCGGAGAAGGGAAGGGAAGATGCGGGCAGATGGGAAGGAAGAAATCTGATCGCCTTTTAGAGGTTTGGAAGGATGCATTCCACAAAACCACCAAGGGTCTTTCTGTCCCTCCAGAAAAAAAGCTTTTAGGACGCTCTTTTGGGGGGGGGGAGAAGAGCAAAGTTTTCAGTGCGATGTTTCTCAACTTTGGCGACGTCAAAAAGGTGGTCTTCAACTCCCAGAATTCCAGCTTACAGGATTCTGGGAGTTGGGAGTCCACCTCTCATCCAATCGTGGTTTATTCACTAAGCCATGGTTAACAGGGCGGTTGGCTACTGCGGTGAGTGACGTCTCAGTTGCTTAGCTGTTCTGTGACTTTCAGTACATGCTGGAGTGGGGCGTGGGGGGGGGGCAGCAGGGGCTCCCCAGCCCCCAAGGAAGCAGAAAGCAAAGCTTGCTGCCTTTTGCAAATGAGTTGCCTTTATTCCCTTGTTCCTGTGCTGCACTGTGTTAGAGAAGAGAAGAGAAAGAGAAAAGAATACAGTAGGAGTAGATTAGAATAGAATGGAATATAGAAATAGGATAGGATAGAATAGAACTGAATGCAGAACAGAATTGAATGCAGAACAGAATAGAACTGAATGCAGAATAAAATAGAATAGTAGAATAGAACTGCATATAGAATAGAATAGAACTGAATGCAGAATAGAATAGAACTGCATATAGAACAGAATAGAACTGAATGCAGAATAGAATAGAACTGAATGCAGAATAGAATAGAACTGCAGAATAGAACAGAATAGAACTGAATGCAGAATAGAATAGAATTGAATGCAGAACAGAATAGAATAGAACTGAATGCAGAATAGAATAGAATAGTAGAATAGAACTGCATATAGAATAGAATAGAACTGAATGCAGAATAGAATAGAACTGAATGCAGAATAGAATAGAATAGAACTGCATATAGAATAGAACTGAATGCAGAATAGAATAGAACTGAATGCAGAATAGAACAGAATAGAACTGAATGCAGAATAGAATAGAACTGAATGCAGAATAGAATAAAAATAGAACTGAATGCAGAATAGAATAGCAGAATAGAACTGCATATAGAATAGAACTGAATGCAGAATAGAATAGAACTGAATGCAGAATAGAATAGAATAGAACTGAATGCAGAATAGAATAGAATAGAAATAGAACTGAATGCAGAATAGAATAGAATAGAATAGAACTGAATGCAGAATAGAATAGAATAGAATAGAACTGCATATAGAATAGAATAGAACTGAATGCAGAATAGAATAGAATAGAATAGAACTGCATATAGAATAGAATAGAACTGAATGCAGAATAGAATAGAATAACTTTGTTGTCACTTTAAATGTACACTAATTAACATGCATTACAATGAGATTTTGTTACAGCTCTCACAGGGTCACCACCTCCAACATACACTACATAAAGTTAACAAAAAAAAAACATTGCATGTACCCACAGACCCACTTATATATTCTATGTCACAGGGCTTTTCAACCGGTGGTACGCGTACCGCCTGTGGTACATTAACGAGTGGCAGGTGGTACGCAGCCCTGCCTAGCCAAGTGCAGAGTGGCTGGGGCGAGGCAAAGGCCCCAGGCTCACTTCAGGCTCACCCCCCCATGAGAAAGGAGGAGGAGGAGGGGGCGGCGACAGGAGAGGCTATAAAAGCAGGCAGTTTGGGCAGGAGAGGGAGAGAGAAAAAAGCAGAAGCCATGGTAGGAGGTGGAGTAGCTGCACCAAGGGAAAGAAGAGGAGGAGGGGGGGAGAGGAGAGGAGGTTAAGCAGGCCTGCCAGCCATGAGCCCATCTACAACTGGCAGCAGCAAACAGGCAAGAATTGCCCTCCACTAGGAATGAAAAAAGGCAGCAATGGCTGGAGGTGAGGCACGGAGGAGGGAGGGAGATGGAGAGTGGAAGGATTCTTATGTGCTTTTGTGACTTTTCAGTTCTGGGATTTGTGCAATGTGTTCCTTGTGTTCTTAAGGAGTGTTTGGCAATTTCTATTGGGCTGATGGCCGATGTCTCCTGTTAGCTTCTATTGCTCTGCTCTTTTTAGCTGTAAGTTTTGCTGCGAGGGATTGTGAAGTATTTTTCTCCTGAATGGATTTTGCCTGTAGCATTCCTTTACTTCTGAATGGAGCTATTTGGGGAGGCTGCCTTAGCTGGCAGCCATTACTTACTTAGCCGGCAGCCATTACTGCGCTCCTTAACTTTCCTTTCCAGCCAGTAGCTAATTCTTAAAGGGGAATGTGCCTTTTTAAGCTAGTTCCCTAAATGGCTTCTCTTTTCTGTCTCTGGAGGCTTTTCCTTGTCTGATGAATATATGGAAGAGGGAAAACATGGGGGGGGGGGGTTCAAATTCTTCCTGCAGAAGGAGATGGCAATGAGAAAGAGGGAGGCAGGGAGGGAAGGAAGTCCCGCCTAATAGCACTTGGCCACCAGCAGCCCTGCCATTGACTTTGCTTGTCAAAAGCTTGCAAAAGGGGATCACATGACCCTGGGACACTGTGACCATCATAAATATGAATCAGTTGCCCAGCATCCAAATATAAATCACATGACCCTGGGCACGCTGCAAGAGTCATAAGTGTGAAAAATGGCCATAAGTCATTTCAGTGCAATTGCAACTTTGAACAGGGTTGTGGGTTTTTTTGGTCATCAAGCTTTTGACACCTTGCTAGGTGGTATTCGAATATTGCCATATCCTAAAAGTGGTACAGTCGGTGAAAAGGTTGAAAAGCCCTGATTTAAAGCACAGACAAGAGTGAATCTAGTGCGGGGGTAGGCCACCTTGGCTCTTTTATGACTCGTGGACTTCAGCTCCCAGAATTCCTGAGCTTGGAAACCTCTCCCTTTCCCCTGAGGTTTCCAAGCTCAGGAATTCTGGGAGCTGAAGTCCACAAGTCATAAAGCAGCCTATGCCTAGGCCAGAGGTAGGCAATCTTGGCTCTTTTATGACTGGTGGACTTCAACTCCCAGAATTCCTGAGCCAGCATGGGGGAATTATGGCCCCCTCATGACTCGTGGACTTCAACTCCCAGAATTCCTGAGCCAGCCATGCTGAGGGGAAAGGGAGAGGTTTCCAAGCTGAGCCATGCCGGCTCAGGAATTCTGGGAGTTGAAGTCCACGAGTCATAAAAGAGCCAAGGTTGCCTACCCCTGAATTCTAGTGCTAAAATTTTTAAAAATCATACTTCTCCAGCTTCCTTATCCCCAATTATTAAAAATAATATAAGGCCAAGGTAACCCATGCATTCCTATATCAAGCTGATGTTTATTAAATGCCACTACTGGAAAAACCCAATCACAGCATCTGAGGAGAATCTTTGGGATGGATAAAAGGACATCAGCTGCTGCCCTCAGAGATGAATTGTGAATTTACACAATTTCTGCTCTGTATAAATTCAGGGTATGCTATCATGTCCCCCCTAGTCCTTCTTTTCTCTAGACTGGCCATTCCCAATTCCTGCAACCATTCTTCATCTGTGTTAGTCTCCAGGCCCTTAATCATCTTAGTTGCTTTTCTTCGCACTTTTTCCACAGTCTCAACATCTTTTTTATAATGTGGTGACCCAAAACTGGATGCAGTATTCAGCATCAACCTTGTGAACGTTCAAGCTTCCCCTTTCCGCTATGTATTCAAGATGGACAGTGATTAATATTTATATGTAAGGGTGTAGGTATTTACATGTGTATGTATATAGCATGTTTATACAGTATGTGTGTTATGTATGTGTACACTTCGGAGAGCAAGCAACAAAATTTCATTTTTCATGTGTGTCCACAAAAAAAAGACACTAAAAGCTATCTATCTATCTATCTATCTATCTATCTATCTATCTATCTATCTATCTATCTATCTATCTATCTATCTATCTCCATTATCTCTATATCTCTATATCTAGCTAGCTATCTGTAGTTCGGATGTGTACATTTACATGGCGAGAAAAACTGAATCTTGCGAGTTTACCAGACGGAGGGCGTACTAGGGAACAAAGCTGTTAGTTACAGAATCTGGTAGGCCTGCTGGAAGTACTTGGAAACCTCCTCCCAGGCTAATTAGGGAGGCTAATTAGGGAGTATTAGGAAGGAAGGAAGGAAGGGAAAAAAAAAAAACCAGGGAAAACCTCAATTGCTGCTGAAGCGGCCAAAGCCCGGCAGCCATACCGTAAATCTCCCTGGTGGGAAGTTTGGGGTTTTCAGAACGGGAATCCTTCAGGCAACAGATCAAAGCAGCCTTTGCTGGGAAAAAAAATAGCCAAGGAAGAAACATGGCTGGTGAAGGAAGGGAGGCCGTGGGCAGAAAACAGCGCAGGTGGATCCAAGCGCCACGGAGAAGCCGGACGCGGGCCGGTCCCCTCCAGCTGTTCCTGGTGCTCCTTTGGCTGCAGGGTGGATGGATGGCCGATTCCTTCTCTCCAGTGGTGGGATTCAAATAGGCGAACCACCGGTTCTCTACATGGATGCCGCTTCCGGAAGTCCATTCTGGGCCTGGGCAACAAAAAATTAGCTACCGGTTCTGCCAAAGTGGTGTGAACTGGCTGAATCCCATGCTTCTCTCTCCCCTTTCTCTCTCCCCCCACTCCGTCCCGCTGGCCAGACCCAGCGCCCTCGCCTTCACCTGGTGTGGGGAGAGCGAGCAAGCAGCCGGTGCGCAACGCCGGGAGGGTGCGGCGAGGGGAGCCTCCCGGGGCGGCTGGCATAGGGAGCACCCGCTGGGTCCTTGCGGCGTTTTGGACCCGGGGTGGGGGTCAGGGTTCTTGCAGGGTCACCGCCCCTCCAAGGTGCGGAGGGGGGGCAAACAGGGCTCCCAGTGTCCCCCTCCCGAGGGTCGCGGGACTGGCTGGTCCTTCCCTCGGCCTCAGGCGCGCAAGGCGAGGCCGGCTCCCTCCTGGTGGCCCGAGAAGGCCTTTTCCCCCTCAGGGAAGCTTCCCTC